CAGCAGGTTCGGGTCCAACAGTAGGATCTGGAGGTCATATTTCAGGTGGCGGCTTTGGACTTCTGTCCAGAAAATTCGGAGTCGCTGCTGATAGTGTCGTTGATGCTCTTCTTATTGATGCTGATGGACGGTTATTAGACCGAAAAGCCATGGGAGAAGACGTGTTTTGGGCAATCAGAGGTGGCGGCGGTGGAAATTGGGGAATTATTTATGCCTGGAAAATTCGATTAGTGAAAGTGCCCAAAATCGTAACAACTTTTAAGATCTCTAAGCCTGGCTCCAAACAATACGTTGCCCCATTACTTTACAAATGGCAAATAGTTGCACCAAATTTGGCCGATGATTTTACTCTAGGAGTACAAATGATACCTATAGATCTGCCGGCTGATATGAAATACGGAAATCCTACTCCTATTGAAATATGTCCCCAATTCAATGGACTTTATCTGGGTCCAAAAACTGAAGCGGTTTCTATATTAAATGAGGCATTTCCAGAGCTGAACGTTAAGAATGATGACGCCAAAGAAATGACTTGGATTGAGTCTGCACTTTTCTTTTCCGACTTAGATAACATATTCGGGAACTCCTCTGACGATATCTCCCATTTGAAAGAACGCTACTTGGGTGTAAAAATTTGCTTCAAAGGCAAATCAGATTATGTGAAGACCCCATTTTCAATGGACGGAATAATGACAGCTCTTGTTGAACACGAGAAAAACCCCAATGCATTCCTTGTGTTCGATCCATATGGCGGAGCCATGGACAAAATTAGTGCTCAAGCTATTGCTTTCCCTCATCGAAAGGGTAACCTTTTCGCAATTCAATATTATGCACAGTGGAACGAAGAGGACGATGCCAAGAGCAACGAGCACATAGAGTGGATAAGAGGATTTTACAATAAAATGGCGCCTTTTGTTTCAAGCTCGCCAAGGGGAGCTTATGTCAACTACTTGGATATGGATCTTGGAATGAATATGGACGACGACTACTTACTGCGAAATGCTAGTAGTCGTTATTCTTCCTCTGTTGATGCTGTGGAGAGAGCTAGAGCATGGGGTGAAAAGTATTTCTTGAATAACTATGATAGGTTGGTTAAAGCTAAGACAAAAATCGATCCACTAAATGTTTTTCGACATGAACAGAGTATACCTCCTAGGCTTGGTTCAACGCAAGAGCATAACTACAGTAGTGAATGAGATTTCAAATGTACTACTACCAGGGGCGGATACACAAGGGTGGAAGTTGTGTCATNTGGTTAAAGCTAAGACAAAAATTGATCCACTAAATGTTTTTCGACATGAACAGAGTATACCTCCTACGCTTGGTTCAACGCAAGAGCATAACTACAGTAGTGAATGAGATTTCAAATGTACTACTACCAGGGGCGGATGCACAAGGGTGGAAGTTGTGTCATGTGACGTCGCTTTGCCTGAAAAAATGTTAAATATTTATACTAATATTATGTAAAAATAAAGCAATATATAATAATGGCACCGCTTATTCCTAGCAAAGAGTACTTCTTGATAAAAAAATTGAGGCTAAAGAAAATTGAACCTACACGTCCATTTGTAATAATAAAAGTGAGGATATCAAAATAGATGCGTGGGCATACCAGGAAACACTACTAGAAATCTGCCAAGTTCCATTCAAACCATGTCAACCATTATAATCAATACAAATAGACCCTTAATCAGCTCTTTAATATTTCTAGATGATCAATTTTCTTATGCAATATTAAGAAAATTTGAGCTACTTTCGAGAAAGGCGGATACACATTTGAAGTTTCTTGAATGTCAATATACAAAATTCGACTTGAGCTAATATCAACTATTTGGTTTGTTGATACAAATTATGCTAATTAAGAAAATTTGAAACCAGTTGCATTGTCCCCAAATTGTAAATGCTAAGGACAAAGTGTCCTGTATGGCCAATTGATTAATAAGTAACGAACCTAAACTTTCAAATAAGAATTATTTTTGTTTTATAAAATTTGAAAAAGATTAAAAACAAATAACTACTTTTTATTTTTTGAAATAACTATCTTAATGTTGTGGTCTCCTTCTATCAAGAGCTTATCTTCCTAAATTCTTCACCTATACCTATATTATTATGCATATGACACTATCATCATCTGCAGCAGTATGAAGTACTCATTACAGCTCACACTGAAGACTTTAACCCAATATGAGAAGGTTTCTGGCCAACTGATTAACAAAAGCAAAAGTTGCTTCTCTATGTCTCCTAGGACAGCACAAAGTAGCATCACTGGAGTTTGTAATTCTAGGCATGACCACTTCCCTATGAAATATCTTGGGTTCCCTCTCCACCCGGGAAGGAAGAAATTAACCTTCTACTTTGACGTGGTCTCTAAGGTTATTAACAATATCAGGGGGTGGCATCTTAAGTTCCTCTCTTTTGGAGGTAGAGCTACTCTCATAAGGCATGCTCTCTTAGCCCTCAATATTCACAGGTTGGCTGCTATTCATCCCCCAAAGGCACTATTGATATGATTGAAAAGTATATCTATAGTTTTTTTTCGGTCAGGTATTGAGGAGGGAGGCAAGCATCACTAAGTATCTGGGTACAATCTCTCCTTTCCTCGTGAGGAAGGGGTGTTAATTTCAGGAGAGTTGAAGACATTTATTTGGCTTTCCATGTTAAGCAATGGTGGAAGTTCAGAACCACTCATTCTATATGCTCTCAATTCATGAAGGCCAAATACTCTGAAGGTTCACCTTCTCTACAGTGACCATTATGCTAAAACTATTTGAAACTACTTTTTTGGTCCACTAGGGATTGCCTACAAAAATATTACTATGAGAACTCTCATTATTAGTTGCTGGAATTAGAGGACTAGGAACTCTATTATTGCTTATGTTTTTAAGATTCTCCCTCTTTTTGGTTTGTGGGAATTATGGAGATCAAGATAGAGCTCCAAATATGGAATGGAAAGACCTTATGTTGTGAGGTCCATTTCCTTTATTACTTTCAACATCATTAACAAAGTGAAGAATAGATTTGGTAATGTGATGACCCAAAAGGTCATCTCGTATTTTAGAACCCAATTCGGGGTTCCGAGTCCTTCAAGACCCTTTTTCCTTCTCTTAAATTTGCGTGCGTAGTCCGGGCGCGCTTCTGTAAGCACGTGATTTTTGCCCTATATGAGCATTACTCCCAAAAATTCAAAAATAAAATAATTTTTCTTGGTGTGCAATTTTGTGGTATTTTGTGATATTTTGAATAATTATTTGTTTTTGTCTGTGCATGTTTATTTGCTAAATTAATAAAAAATACAAAAATATGTCGTATTTTGCATGTAGGATTTAATTCTACAATTTGTTAGTAATTAAGTTTGTTTACAAAAAATAAAAATTTACAAAAATAGGCATCGTTTGCATTTTTAGCATTTAATGTCCAAATATACAATTTTATGCTTAATTATTACTTAATTGTGCGTTAATTGTTATTTGGAGTTAATTTGCGCTTTTATAACTTAATTTNAAAGGAAAAGGTGGGTAATAATGTCTTCTTTTCAAAAAGAGGGAATACAGGGGCCCACTTTGACTACTTTTCAAAAGAGGGAACACGGGGGGGGCCACGTTGACTACTTTTACTAAAGTAAAAATGTGGGTAATAATAAAAGTTAAAGGGAAAAGAGGTAAAAGGGGGTCTTGCTTTGTATATAAGGGGGAGGAGGGGGAGAAGAATTGGGAGAGGTAGGGAAAAAAGGGAAGAGAATTTTGGGGAGAGATTGGAGGAGAAGAATTTGAGAGAGGAGAATTTTGGGGAGAGATTTTGGGAGGAATTTTAAGAGATTTTAGGAGGAGAATTTTTAGAAAGAGGGTTTTTGGGAGAATTTTGGGAGAGACGAATACATTCTGAAAATCTGAAGAGAGTGTGGTAGAGTTTAAAAAGAGAAAACAAAAACAAAGTGAGAAGTTTCGGGTTTAATACACTCGTGGGTTGTTGTTGTTTAGTTTGTTTACATACTTTTGGTGTTGTTCTATTAAGTTGTTCGGTTTTCTTCAAAGTTTTCTGGGCCTTGAACCTGGGTCGAATTGCTGCTGGGGTTGTTGTTGTTGCTGTGTATTTACACTACTGCTGCTTCTACTGATCTTCATCTTCTTTCCTTGCTTTCCAAATACCAGGTACACAAACTGATACACGGGTTCATCTTGTAAGCCACTTGAAGCATGAATGCAAAAATGTGAAAGATTTGAAGTTGTAGTTTAATGTAGTCTTTTCTTTCTGTTACTGTTTTATGTAGAATATTCTATGCGTTGCCCATGTAAACTCTTTAAACGACTCACTTTCGAAACTTAACTATAATAACTCGAAGTATGTAAATAAAGTAACATCTTTTCTTCATTTATTTTAGAGAAAAACGAAAAATAAAAAAATGTAGTTGTTCTAACATTATCCTTTTTTTAAAAAAATAATGAGACGAGCCTCGACAAACAAAAATGCACAAGCTGCGGGGCCCTCTAAATGTA